ACATGGAAGTGAATGAAGACTTTTTTGATCCGAGAGATCAGGACTTAAGTGGTGTTGTTTTAGAAGAAGACGAGGCCGACAAAGAGCTCCAAATGGCTTTACATAAGTCACGCAAATTGAAGATTAGGACCAATATAGAGGCGACGACGGGTGCGGCCAGTATTGCGAAAGTGGCGCAAACTGTTCACAGACTCAATCAGAATGTGGACGAAGACCCCAATGATTCAAATGACAATTTAATATCCAATAACATTATATTGAACTCTACGGCAGAATTTTGTCGCAATTTGGGTGATATTCCGACCTATGGTTTGGCGGGGAATCGCGATGAAGACGAAGAGCTTATGGAATTAGAAGAAGAGGTTATTACTGAACCACGAGTTCATGATTCCGACCCGACTAGAGGTCAATGGAATGAAGTAGAGGTGAGAGACGATGACATCGCACCCGATTTGGATGATAACGAGGGACAGCCTATTCTCGAGGAAGAGCCCGATGTTAGCCGAGGACTGGTCGGCGCCCTTCAGTTAGCCATGAAAAAGGGATATTTGGATAAAGAGATTAAGAAACAAAGCGTTTCGCGACAGAGCGCTATCGAGTCTCAGTCCTATAGTATTGAAGAGAAATATTAGTAAGTTTTGAATTGTTTTGAAAAGTTTGTAATATTTTATTAAATATTTAAATGAATTGTGTTTATAAACAATAGCGAAGACGATAAGATCGGGCGAAGGGAACGATATTCGGGACCCGTGTCTGACTTTAGAGAGAAGAATGATTATAAGCCTGAAATCAAATTGGATTACGTGGACGAGAAGGGAAGAGTTCTCGACCAGAAGGAGGCGTTCAGGCATTTGTCCCACAAATTCCATGGAAAGGGTCCGTCGAAGAACAAAATCGATAAACGCATGAAAAAGAAAGACCAACAGAGCGTATGTCACCCACAGTTGCGACCATTCTATCCATTGTTTTGCAATTAATTTGTTTTTATTGATTTCATAATAGAAATTACGGCAAATGAGTTCAACGGATACACCGCTCAACACATTACGAATGCTAACCGATAAGCAAAAAGAACTTCAATTACCATATGTTGTGCTCACAGGCGGACAGAAGACAGCCATTCAGTATGTTTTCCGCGAATCTGATATGTATTNAGTTCAACCGATACACCGCTCAACACATTACGAATGCTAACCGATAAGCAAAAAGAACTTCAATTACCATATGTTGTGCTCACAGGCGGACAGAAGACAGCCATTCAGTATGTTTTCCGCGAATCTGATATGTATTTATCGTTTTTAAAATAAATTATCGTTTATTTTTCGTTTAGAACCACTATTTCGAAGACCAAATGATTAGGAATTTATCGAAAGTAATCGACGAATAATTAAAATAAAGTTAACGTAATTTTTAATTGAAATAAGACTTAAAAATATACAGTTTTTCAAAAAATGTAAATAAAAGAA